TGCTTGCCGTCTCACTGAGCTTTTCTAGCTATAGTCAGCCATTTTTGTATGACCAAAGCATGGAAAAAAGGAAATGTTTATTTTATATACATATTTATCACATTATTCCTTTTGCAAAGAACTCAAGATGGTTTACATAATCATTCTTTCCACTTTATCCTCCATTTTAATCCAGATAAATTAGCAACAAATATTTTTTAATTTATTTCTATTCTGTCCAATAGCCAAAGCTCTCTGGGCAGTTCAGAACAATTAATCAAACACAAAAGATAAAATAAAAATACACATACAGTAAAACATAGATTAAAATCCCAATATGAAAATTTAAAATAGCTAAAGATTCCAATATAGAAAATAGAGAACAGCTAGACATCAAACATGTTTTCCTTAAAAACTATAGACCTAATTACAACAGCAGACACATTATATGTCATCAAATGCTTGGGAATATCATAATTTGCTGCTATCACTGCTGCTGGTTTGTGCCAAGATTTTCTTTGGGTGCAAGATGAGAATGAGGCAGTGTGTGAGCACTAAAGATGAGAGATGGAAGTGGAAATCACCATGATAGGAACATTAATATGGCATTAGAAGAATGGGCCCTTGGATTATGATCTGATCTGTTCTCTGTTACTGGATGATGATGATGATGATGATGATGATTTAACCTTTCTATTCCCAGCACTGCAAGATAGCTCATAGCATTACAAACTTAAACACTAACAAAAGTATACCAAAGTATCTATGGAATCTATTGAATTAAATCAGTAGAATATTAAAATATATTTTAAAAATATAATTAAATCAGTAGATTTTGCATGCATGTGCAGTGGGTTCTAGTGATGATATATTCTGTGGGGTGTGCCTGTATTGCAGTGATTATGCTGGAGAGAAGGAGGGATGGATAATGAGCTCATGAGACTATCTTCCCTTATTCTCTTGCTCTGGCAACACATCCAGTGTTCTTCACAGTTTTGCAGTGCCGCTACTAAACACCAAGACGGTTTGCAAGGCCACCCTTGTTTGCAACTTGACTCATGACTAGAGAAACCAACCTGGCATGTATTATTCAGAACTTGGTGAGCTGAGGGTTGACGTGGTTATTTCCCGTACTTAGGAAATGACTTCATCTTGTGGTGGACTTTGCATTTGCTCTTGCACTACAGAGACAGACTGGGCTTGCTGCTGCTATACTGTCTACTTATTTGTCCAGCAACATCCCTGTCTGAGACCATGTTGAGCATAGTATTGGAGGAATTTAAGGCAACTTTCCTCAAGTTTCTGATTCTGGATTTTATGGCTGCCATTGGTTGTTTCAGTTTGCCACTGCCCTGCAGACAAAGTAGGGCACACACATAGTTTAGTCTTTGCCTTGAGAGGGGAAAATAATTGCCTGAACATGGCTGTGTGTTGTTCAAAAAATCTCTATTGTCACTGTTTCTTTGTAGGGTTTGAATTTACAGTTCCTATCTCCTTCTACAGAGGTAGGGGAACTTAAATAGTACAGCCCAGTAAACTGATGGAATTCAATAGATTCCTGAAAGATCTTGGGAATTTTCCAGTGTAGTCAACTAGTGAGTCTGTTGAGGCCTTAGTTTTACTGTGAAACTTCAGGACAATGAAGCAAGCTGGGCTACGGCTAGAGTGCTAATAGCTACTCAGGGTGGAAACTACCAAACACAAATTAGGAGTATATAATCATGCCTATTATAGGGCAATGGACCCAGTGAGATTTCTTTTCTGTCTCCATTGCATCCTCAAGTAGCTGCCCAGGGAAGCTGTTTTCAGTGGTCTGTGAATTACTGACACACTGTCCTAAAGATGGAGTCCTACACGCCCTTGGGAATGATCTTGCTGTGATCTTTTCTGAAGAGATTGAAATAATTGCTTGCCTTCTCAGCAAACTTGATGCTCCTGTTATAGCATGTCCCACTGAAGTGTCTGATCCTTCTGTCTGTCTTCTTGGGCGTCAGAGTCAGCTACTGAACCCTGATGAGGTGGTAGATGAACAATGTGGTCTAATTAAGGCTCTATCCTACTGTGTACGGAATTTTTCTTATGTTCATTTTATCCTTTTATGGCTCTTTACATGACATAAAAAAGTGGCTACAAGATTGTTTAAAAGTGTATTTGTAGAATCTGAGAGTTTTCATCTCCATTTTGGACTGAGTACACACTGTAAACACTGCATGATAAAATGCCTCAAGTGACTGTGGTTTACGCATATGTCAAAAAGACAACTATAGCTTTCATATGTTACAAGGAATACTGTGTATATTTAGAATACAGGTAGATACTTGCTGTCAGATATGAAATTACCCTAAAATTAACCTAATATTGGGCATTAAAAATTTAACTCTTTAGTATGCTGTGCATATGGGCTAGCTCCACAATATAAAGAGCAAAATCTGGAAAACTTCAGGCAGCAATAGGTTGCCGTTGAGTGTACATGTGTATGATGGCAGCATGTATGTTGGTTGGAAGCATTTACAAATTATGTTTCAGGTATACAGTACCATCAACATATACAAAATAGTGTAAAAGATTCATTTCTCAAAAGAACAGTGCATGTTTACTCTCAGGTCTTCTGGAAAGATTACTTGATAGCCAGTACCACTTTGATTAAGTACACATACCAGTGTAGGACCAATACTTTAGTGAATTCCAAGAATATGATTTTAAAACCTCTAAAATATGAACTGGGCTCCAGAATGGGATTGCAGAAATTTCTGAGAATACAAAGCCCTGCCAGGCTGTTACCACCAGTGCAGGTGGAGTACGGAAGCAACTGTTACTTCTCTGTCCTCATTTTTCCTTTAGAATCTGCTTAAAGTTGTGCTGATGGGGGTGGCCTGAGACTGGAAGGTTCTTTCTTTCTTCTCTTCTCCCCTCCCATCCACTGGAATGCCCCCTTGTGTATTGAAGACCTTCTCTGTAACCTCAGGAAGCAATCCATTAAATTCTTTCCAAGACAGCTGCTAGAGGGCCAGGGCTCAGATCACAAAGTGTCTATGGCCTCAGCACTGGAAATGCTTTCCTGGGGACTCTAGGACTGCTCTCTAAGTGATTTTGTATCTAGTCAAATATTAGGTGGGCAATTAAGTACAAAAATACAGTTAGATCTGCTTTTACACTATGCACATGAAAGGATGGCTTATGATTCTTTCAGGAAGCAGTCTGTTCAGAGTAAAATTAAAATTTCCCGATACTGAGGAAATCTTGTGCATATTCAGCAGTTGGTAACAACTTTAAATTGCTGTTACCAGAAATAAGCCTAAAACTTTACTCTGCTTATATTAGAACAGGATGTTTAAACATGCTGCTATAAACAACCACTGTCAGCAGTCTTGATTCTAAAGCTATTTCATTTTTATGTCAAAAAGGTAGAAATCAAAAACAGTGAAAAACTGATCTGAGGGGAGATAAGAATTCCATCTGATAAAATCATTTACAAAGCTGAAGAGCAATGCAGGTACTAAAAATAGGCTGTGGAACTGCCTTTTAAAGAGAATGTCTTATGACCATATATATAGTTCATAAGATACTGACTTCAAATGGTTCCAAAAACAGTATTTTCTTTCCAAGTCCACCTTCTCAAAATGTCACACATACATAGACAGATCACAAGTTTACATATTATATGTAGAAGTATGCATTTGATCATTTTCTAGGGATGCAGGCTCTTTAGTAACAGCTCAGCTTCTACTTGTCAGTTCATAGCCAACAACACAGAAGCGGTGAGTAGCAATCTGCTAAACCTTTCCTTAGAGAAATGTAACTTCCTGATAATCCTCATCAGAAGCAGAAAAGTTGAATCACATTGCCTGACATTTAATGTCAAGAAGTAGGTAGACTATAGGCCATACTGAGGTATAAATAGCTCTCTGAGTTAAGGTCTCATTAAACTTTTACATGGACGGGGGGGGGGGAGGTGATGTGAAAGATAACTAGATCTATAACAGGCATTTAAATAAAGGTTTAAAAGTTGTGTAGAATAAGTAATTCAGAAGGAGGAGACTAAAAAATGGGAAGCCCTGGAAGGATGGGGATGACACTCCGTCGCCCCCCACAAAAAAAAAAATCCCCTAACCATTACGAAACAAAAGCATCCAGCTGTCCTTCTACAAATTATTTTCTGGAACTGGAGGAAGAAAAAGCTGAAAGAGCAGCCTAAAGGTGCCTAATGGAGAAGTGTGCCCTTCAAAAAAGGACGCCTATTTCCCCTTTTTCAGACAGCAAGTGCATCAGGCAGTTCCTGGCCGTCGCTTTCTTCCCTGCAAGGTCACTGGTCCGACGACAGTAGCTAAGGACGCCTAACGGAGAGCTTGCGCGTTTCCTCGTCGCCGAATACGCCGAGAGCAAGCGACAGAAGCGCTCCCCCGGCACGCTCACCTCTTAGCGATCCCAACCCCACCAGGAAGTGACAATCCCACTCCTGCTCCCCTCTGGCGCCTAGCCACGCGCGCACACACACGCACTCTAGCGTGCAAATCCGTGCAAAAACCTCCGCGCGTTAGATCAAAACGCCGCTTGGCTCGTCTATTCCCCCCTCCCCGAGTACCGTGCCCTTTCCAACCCACTTCTCTTCCCCATCCCCGGGCGCTGTGAGCAGCCCAAGCTGAGCCGCTCTCGGAGCAGCGCCCGAGAAAGGAGCCGGAGTTCCCAGCGCAGCGCCTCAGCAGCGCGTGTGGGCGGCCTCCGCCGCTTTCCCAGGCAGCCCCGGCGCCTGCGTGCAAGAGGCAAGGGGGCGGCGGTTGAATTAGGCAACCAGCGTCTGCTGCGACAAGGGAACGGGGTGGGGGGGGGGGGCGGAGAAGGAAGGGAACGAGGAAGGCAGGCAGTCATTCCGTCCGCCCGTCCTCTTTCCTTCCCTCCCCTCAGCCCGGCTTTTCCCTGGCGGGTCGGTGGAGCCTCTGAGCGAGGGAGGGACGCAGGCGGGGAGGAGGGAGGCCGCTGAGTCACCCTCTTCCGTGACCAACAGCAGCAGGTAAACCCGACCAAGCCCCAGGCTCCGCTCTGCTCCCCTCGATGGCCCACCGCTCCCCGCAAAATCTAAGGACCGCCCTCACCGCAGCCACCCTCTGCTCTTTCGCCTGGTTCCGCTTCTCTCGTCCCTCCCGCCCTCGCCTCCATTCCCCGCTGTCATACTGAGGAGCAGGCACAGAGGGAAGGAAGGACTGTGAGGCCTGTAACGCTTCAAGCGGCGGCGGCGGCGGCGGCTCGCTCCCTCCCTCCCCCTCCACCGCTCCAGTTTCTGGAGGCAGATCTGGGGGAGGCGCTTCGTGCTACGCGCTGCTTCGGTTCTTCGTCGGAGCGGGAGAGTTGCAGGCTGTCCTTTCTCACCCTCCGCCGTTTTCAGACAGCAAAAGGGGGAGAAAGCACGACCTCCTCTTCATGTGGGCGTTTGTTCCGTCTCTCCCCTTCTAATCAGGTCATAGGTGGGGAAAACACTAGAAATTTCCCTTTCCTTCTCTCGCCCTTCTTGTCTCTTCACTCCTCTCAGTCGAGCTGCTCAGTTCTCCTTACTTCCGTTGCTCCAAAAACTTCAGTTCTGATATTTTGTGGCAGTTTCACTTTCGCATTCCTCCTTTCAGAGCGCAATTCCGTGCATGCAGTTGCTGTTTCCAGTGCTGTAAAGCTTTTCCCGAGGAAGTGCGTATAGGATTGTAGCCTTAGGCACTCGTATTTTCCTTCCAGTTGTTTTGTTACATCTGCTTTTTTATCATTTCGGTAGTTCCTGTTTTTTTTTTTAACCGAAACAAAACAGGGGCTGTGTCTTAAGTATGGAGAAAAACGTATATTCTTCTTCCTAAACCTCCCCCCTCCCCAACATCTTCTGGGTTTCTCTTTAATGTAAACTGTCTTGCAGAGGCTACAACAAAATCGTTTAGTGCATTTTGTAAAGTATTTTAGGATTAATAGGTTGTAAAGGACAATGTCAGGAGCAAGTGATGCCCTATTGTAAGTATGCTTACTTTGTAGATGGCCATGGTTTCAGTCCCTAGTTAATAGCTTACAAGCTGATTTGGTAATCTGTACAGGATAATATAAGGCAGGGGGAATCTCTGCTGCATTTTTGGTTTTGGTTTCTGAATTGTGAACTGTGTGACATGGCAAATCACTTTTGAAACAGAAGGAACTTTCAAAAGCTGTTCTAGACATCATTTAGGTGAGTTGTTCAACATGGAGTACCAGAAATCTCACTAGGTGTCCTTACTGATATCTGTAGATAGCAGTACCATCTGTAAACATTATTTAGTAATGTACCCCTTCCTTTTATGATGGTGTCCATAATCTCATGACTGTACTAGCTTCTTAGTTAAAAAAAAGAACAACAACATGACATTTAAAACAAGGATACTATAAAATAGTCCTGAATGCTATTTTTTCATACAGATGAGAAGGTGGTATGCCTTAGGGATGGTGACTTCCTAAGTATTATGTTTGTATACTGCATCAACTTTTTCAAACCTTTTCTTTCAGAAATCAGTATTTATGTGGAGCCCAATAACCATGTTGTCAATAGCGGAATTAAACAAGATATAATTGTTCTATGATTATCTAACTATAAACACAGATGAACTTTTTAGAGTTTTTGTTTTCCTTTATAAATAAACTGTAAGTCCATCTTATATATAACTGGTGGCAAGCACTGAAGTAGAAATTATGTGAGTGAAAAAATGGGTGGTGAAAATATATATAATAAATACTTATTTCTTGCTGCATCAGAGGGCAGGACCCTCTGTACTTAAGATACAGGAAGTAGATTTTGGTTGATTATTAGGAGAATTGTTTTGCACCAATAGCAGTTAATTCACTAGGTATGGTATGGTGGACCATCCCTTTCTAGAGGTGTTCTGGCAGAAGCTGGAGAGCCTTTTTGGGGGATGTTTAAATTTCTCTAAATTTTAAGGATGTTTAAATTCCTTGAAATTTTCTACATTGTGCAGGGGGGCGGACTTGATGGTGTATAAGGTCCCCTGCAACTCTGAATTCTATATCATAAAATTATAATCACAGAGGACCACAAATTCTGGCTGTTTGTATTAGTCAAGAATTTTTTTTTAAAAAAATAGGCTTTACTAGCCAGCTGTGAAGCACTATGTTACAGCAATAATATAATTTCATAAGCCATAGGTGTTTGAGGAGTGGTGGAGACTGTAGGATTTTTCCTCTAAATATGCATAGGAGTGTGCCCTTAATCAGAATGAAAGAAGTTTTGCATTAACTCAGGTCCTGTATAGGCTAGTCATACATGAAATGTTTTTTAAAAGAAACTTTAATGACTTTTGACTGTTTAACCACACCTGTTTCTCTTTTGCATGTGAGTGTTCATTCATAATGTTCTGATATTGTTACAATATCTACACGTTCTGCAAAAAGACCACTTTTATTATAAAAATAAAGGAGCCTAAAACAATATTTCAAGAAGTGGGACTCCTATGGTAAAGATTAGCAATTTTTTGTGATATGCCTCTGGATCCTACTTCTTAGTTTTCATTTTTCAAGCTCAGTCACTGAAAAACTCTGCCCACCAGTGTTAGAAAAGCTGTCTTCTGAAATTTATTGCTCAGGATTCAGGATGAAACCTGAATCAGGATTAAACCAGATATTTGGCATTTAACATTTGTCCCGATAGGGTTTTTATGATCAAAACAGTGAACTTTTTTTTAAGAATAAAGGAAGAAATCCAGCACTTCCTAACTAATTTTACAAGCTAAGACTACTGTTCTCTTCAATCAGTAATCTCTGTTGGTTTTGTTAGTGCATACTTCTGAATGAGCATGCAGAACATTAGGCTGGAAAAGACTGAGCACTTGGTTCTTGCTCAGAATTTCTTAAGACAAACTAAATAAGCTTATTTATTTGTAATTAATTTAGTCATTTCTTTGTTTTAAGAATATTTATCCTGAACTGAAAAGGCTCTATAAAGAAAAAAGGAAAGAAAACAGCGAGGGAAGAGGAAAAGGCAAACTCAGACACCAGTTCTTAAAGTTACAAATTTCATATAATGTCCAACTTGAATGACTGACTTGATCTTCTAGTGAAGCCCAGTGGTCCTGTTTTTTTTGTTGTAACCATTTGAAAAAGTTACTGTTCGATGAAAGCAGAACGAAGAGGGAACCTGATTAAGTTGCTTTCTTAGTAGAGCTGATGGAGTGGGCTCATTTCAGAACTGTCTCTCTGTTTTAAATGGCGAGACTGAGTTAGGAGTCTCTTCAAAGTAAGAAATAGAAATGAACAACCCTGCACTATGCCATTCTTTTCTTCACTCTTATGTTTGCTTTTAACATCTAGTCCCACACAGTTCAGACTAACAATTGGAATCATTAAAACTGGAAGTATTTACTGTAATTTACAGATCAAAAAAAGAAAGAAAATCAAAAGTATCCGTCTTGACTTGCCCACTCGGTTTTTAATACGGAAACAGATTAGCAAAAATTAATTTGTCTTCCAAATGTGCATTCAAGGTGACTTGCTAGTTTCCTGTACTGCCACAAATTTAGAATTTGTGCTAATTATCAAAACAAGTTTAAAGCCTGCTTTGGAGAGTCATTATCAGTATGTTCATTTAAGTAAGTGAAGATGGAAGGAACACCTACAGGAGCAAGGAAGATCATCAGTGTAACTAGTGGCAAGAGTACTTGCAGATTGCAGTTGAATCATATGTGCATTGTATGCAGCAGAAAGTCATTCCCATGAGTTGTATGTGTGTTTTATGGCTATGTTAGGAAACAGAGTATGTTTATGAAACAGTTTGTAATGAAATTCCAGGCACCATACTGGCTATAGGTATGGAACTTTTCTCAGTATTGATGGTGTTCAAAGTGTAAGACTTCAGTTTTTCCTAGCTTATGTTTGTTTTTCTGTGATGTTACACAAAGCTGTAGGAAGGATTTTTTTTTGTGGGGGGGGGTGTTGTAGATCATCTTCTCTTAGCAAGAAATTGTTAAAAATGTATACATGCTGAAGCCTAGAAATTTGTACGATTGCTTAGGCTCGCTTCATAGAATCTCTTTGTTTTTGTAAATTGCAACATACTAAATAGTTTATATTAGATTCTTTTTTTGTCCCCATGTACAGATTTTTAATTTTCTTACTTTGAATCTCATTTGTTATTTTGTTGGCCAGTCACCTAGATTGAAGAGTTCATTTTGGAATGCTTCATATTTTGCATTCTGCCCCCATACACTTAGTTACTTCACTGCTAGTTTCTAGCTCTGAACAATATATGAATAAGTTCAGTATATATTGTTGGGAAATGCCAAACCTTACCTGTCTCAGTTTTGTGAATCTTACTTATACCTAGTTTCTGGGCCCCTTTTCCAAGCAGTTACTGATCTATAAGAAAATTTTAATCTTTCCAAATTTCTCTCAGGTAATGAAATCTATCAGAAATTTTTTTGAATTCAAAGTATGTAATGATTATTACACTGTGTCTGTTTCCGTAGTTGCTATCGCCCTCAAATTATTCTAAAAATGCACTCTATGTGGTGCTGTCCTTGAAGATGCTTCAGAAGCTGCAGCCGGTGCAGAATGCGGCACCCAGATTAATAACTGGGTCCATAGATCCAAGCACATAAGACTGGTTCTGACCTACTTGCATTGTCAGTCTGTATGCTTCTGGTCCCAATTCAATGTGTTGGTTTTAACCTGTAAAACCTTATAAGGTCTAGGACTGCAACATCTGTTGAAGCACCTTTTCCAACCATAATCTACTCAGACATTGCACGCAACCTCTGGGGCTTTCCTTTGAGTGCAAACTCTGACGGAAGCATGGAGGGTGGCAACAAGGTAGAGAGCTGTCCATCTATGGATCAGCCCCCAACTATGACCTGGCTGGTGCTGAATTTGTCAGCTTTTCAGAACCAGGTTAAGTTGACCCTCTTCTCTAAGGCCTTTAAAGACTTCCTTAGCCAAGTGCTTATCTTGAGCAAGATTACCCATCCCAGGTGTTTTGCATCTTCTCTGTTGTCTGTTTTTAGCTATTTAATTTTTTTAAATTTTTTTTCTGAGTGTTTTTATTGCATTTTATTGTCTCTTTATGGTATCTTGTAAACTGCCCAGAGAGCTTCAGCTATGTGCAGTATAGAAATGAAATAAGTAAATAAGTAATAATGCAAATCACAGGAACAAATTGAGACTGTAGCCTATTATTTACTGATGTCTGACAATGATTCTGGAGGACTGGCAGATGTCTTTCCCCATCAACTGCTAACTGATCCCATCAATTGGAAATGCTAGTGATGGAATGTGGGTTCTTTGGACATAAGACTTGTACTCAATCGCTGAGCTCCAGTTCTTTCTTTGATTCTTTTTCAGTAAGGCTTATGTTTAATAATTCTTGCTTTAATAATGTTTTCCATCATCTTATCCAAGATAGATCCTTTTTAAATTACCATTGGTTATGGAAGCCAATTTTCATCACATGGTTTGT